GAAATATCTATTCCCTCTCCTTATAACTAATTATATCAATAATTAATACCCAATCCTCTAACTAGGAAATTAATAATAAAAAATACAGAGGACAACAAAATATTCCCAAATTAAATTTAAATATCTTCGGGGGCGGAAGCTCCAATAACGAAATAATACCAAATATCCCCGGAATTAAAAATCCCAACAATAATACCGGAAGTTCTAATATCGGAACCAGAAGTTCAAAATAACGGAAATAACAACCTCTAGTAAAGCCCGAAAACGAATAGCACTAATATTAGCCAATATAACTAATAAAATAAAAGTAATCGATAGTAACCGTACGGTTTAAAAAAATAAATATAGTAATCCAATAATTCCTTCTTTCTACTATAGTTTATAAAAGAAGGGAATTATTTAATAAAATATCAAATTACTATATTTAACGGCGGTTAAAATAACATACGACTTCGATGCTTACTAGAATATTCCCAAAAACTATAACCAAATAAGAAAACGAGGAAACTTCGAAATTTACTAAAAACTAACTATAAAAAAGCAGGTTAGGGTGCTAAAGAATAGGGGAGTTTACACCTTAATTCTAATAACCCCAAATATAATAGTTTTACCAAGAAAATGAGTTTATAATAAAAAAGATAACTTAAAATAAAAAATAAAAAATCCCAAAATTAGATAAATAATATATAGTAACTTCGAATAGGGCTCTTAGGATTTAGAGGAAATTTACGCTATAATTACCAACGCCACTAATATAAAAATATTTTTAACTATGATAATAATTCTAAATTTAGAATATTAACAATTTAACTTTAATACAGCGTTTCTAAATACTTTAATACCCGAAGGTAAAAAGTATTATATTAAATAGCCAATAAGTCTCGAAAAGGGACTAAAAGATAAGAAGACTAAATTAATTTACTTATTTCGACGAGCGCTGTATAGATTTAAGAAGAGTCCTCTCTACTAATTCTAAATACTTTTTCCCATCTTAATAAGGTTGGGTTTCAAACCGGTCAGCAACAGCACATACTTCTTCAATAATACGAAGCTAAGAGCATTATTAATACTCTATATTAATAATTTTCTAATTATAATACCCTTATAATTTATTATTTTTAATATTAAGGATTAGCTACTTGTACATTTTCAGCTCAAATATTTAAGGGAAGTAAAGACCTTTTTAAGCTTCGATATTATAAGGAATAAGGAAGAAAGGATAATTTTTATATTTTAAACTAAATATACGAAAGTCCTAATTAAGAAATTTAGCTACAATAACTTATATAGAATCAATACACTATAGCCTTAGGACATTAAGGTTAGAAACTACAAAATGGGAAATAAATTACTAAAACAATAGAAAAAATATATCAAAAAACAGAGAGCCTTAATTACCTTTCAATAGGTATACAACCGGATATTACCTTTATAATCAACAAACTTTGCGAAGCAAACGCAATACCTACAATAAACTTAATAATAATTATAAAATACTTTTTCCGTTATTTAACGAAGACTATTAATACGGGTATAATCCTAAGAGGGAGGATCTTACTAAATGATATAGATTTAAAGGCATTTAAAAATGCTTCGTTTACTAACGATCTAGCAATTCGATACAATATTAGCGGTTATACAATTTTTCTAATTAGAAGACTAGTATTTTAAAAATTGAAAAAATAGGTTTTCGTAATAACGAATATAATAGAGGCGGAGTTTACCAACCTCGTCCCGACTACAAAACTTTTGCAATAGATTGTATATATACTAGAAGAGCTAGGTCATATACAACCTCCTTTGAAAGTATTGTATATAAATAGTAAGAATAGTCGAAATAAGATCTTAAATTAGAAAATACTAGGAAAGAAAAAGTATATAAATATAAGGTTCAAATAGATTATTAACAACGTCGAAGTAACGGAATTTGATATCATTCATATCAAAGGAGAGGATATAATTACAAATAAATTAACGAAACTATTGAAGGCGGATAAATATAGGAGATTTATTTCAATATTGGGACTGGAGTCTAAGAAGGTACTATGGGGGGATTAAATTCTATTAATACTATAATATTATTATTTATTTACTTATAATAGTCCCTAAGACTTGTTTCGGGCTACGGGGGCGTATTATCGGGCGGGGTCTGTCCTACCACCCTTATCTTATCGTATAGGTCCAGCCCTTACACCCTTCTCCTATATTTTAGCCCTCTATATTTCTTTTCCCTCTTAGCTCTAGCTTTTTCTCCATAGCACACACATCTACACATCGTTTTGCCCTCTAGTCCAAGAAAAACAGCAGCTGGTCCCCGAAAACCCTCGGTCAGCGCAGGAACAGACGGAGCCCAGCCGTGAACTAACAAAAACACCTCTGCCGGTACTCCATTGTGGAAGGTGGACATCACGATGCCGTCCCAGCCTCACGCCAGTGACACCTGCGCTTTGTGGGTGACCGTGACCCGAGACACCCAAAAAGTGAAGCCATTCATTCATCTTCACGGGTTGGAAGCAAGGGATGGGTGCAGCGCGCTAGCAGAAGTTCGTGACGCTCTAGCCTCTGGCACCATGCCAGTTGTGGGACCCGGGGACAGGCGCCGGCCAAAACAGCCATCTGGTACCATTTGTTCCTTTGGGCCGCCCACCGCTTATCATTAGCGCACGTTAGCTTCACCATAGACTGTCAGTGTCGGGTGCTTGGTGAGGTTTTTCTCTGCTGTCAGAAGGAGGCCTGGTCGCAGCAATCGAGCCAAGTGGACCGCAACGACGAGTCTTCATCGCAGCCTCCCGAGTTCACCATAATTAACCCAATCTCCTGGACATCATGATGCCCAAGACCGCCAGGACCGCCAGGACCGCCAATCCGGGCACAACGGCATCAGTCAAAATATCGGGCATTTGAATCAATCATGAGTGTGTGATCTTTTGGGGTGTCGCGACCAGTGTCATATTGTAACCCCAAGATCCTGTTGTGGGTACAGCTGGAGACTGGAGAGCTGTCCCGGCGCAATGGCCCGGGAATCTCAACGTTGAAGAAAACCCGCCGAGGCTCAGACGCCTTCAGTTCGCAAGTCAAGGTTCCCTTGCGTTGGCTACGAGTGGGTCTTTCTTTTCAGGGGAACGGGTAGAAGCGTTTTGGAAAACATCAACAAAAGGAAAGGCTGGTGTTGACAAAAGCATCTCCGTATGGCGTCAGTTGGAGGCGAGGTATAAAAAGATGACCACGGCTCATCCCGTCGCCGTTTGTGCCCTCTTTGTTCATCCCGCAGTCAGCAGTCAGCACACAATCAACAGCGCAGACTGAGACTCCGTCACTCCGAGCGGCCCATTGGAACGTGACCCCGCCGGTGGTTGTTGACCGATTCCGTCTCCCCGGGACAACACCGTTTCAGACCCCAGGAGCTCGGTTGGGTTCTGACCGTTCTGGCGAACCGGGAACAGCCCGGGCGTCAAACATGCTCAGAGGCCGTTCCATTCGACGAGTCCTTTGCGGGGCTATGGTTCAAATGGGAAAATCACCCGGAACTCCCAGAATTTCAAGAATGGGCCCCTGGCAAGCCACCCTGGCGACTCCTCCCCTCCCTCTGTCCAAACAAGCATCTCCATTGGCGCCATGCTTCCAGGAACGTTGCCGTTCGCTTCCGCCTCTCCACTCCTCAGAGCATTACCTCCGCATCTCCGTAGCGTTGGACGCTACAGTACAGTACCAAAAAACACCACGCTATCGCTCGACCAGTCCGTAATCCGCTCGTAATTCACCGGAATTCCAAAACGGCCTGATTCTTCCTCGGAAACCATGGACAAATAGACCCATTTCCGTGCGCATATAGTCCCCCCCACATTTATCGCTAAGTAAGCCGCCCAGCCGCCCAGCCGCGCCAACACACCGTGCACATCGCTGCCCAACCGCCGCCACCGTCGCGCAATCTATTAGTAATCGTTAGTCTTATACGCAATTAAATAAAGCTATTGCGAGGTCTTACCTTAGTATTAAACGATTATTTACAGCGATTATCTATCGTCTTTATTATTGTTTTATTGAGTATCCTCGACCTCGTAGTATTCGCGTTTATTAATATACCTCGCCGCCCGCCCGCCGTACGTCGCATATTCGCCCAAGTAAATTAAATTTCTAACCTAGCCGACCAAAATAACTAGCGTTAACGGGATTTGAATAAAATCGCTAGTAAAATACCTTTAAGTCCGGTTCGAATAATTACTCTTAAACGGAATATAATTCCTTTCGCTGAATTTCAATCGCTATTAATCCGCCGCCCCCGCGAACGAGCAAGAACGCAATTACTACAATCTCCTAACGAATGCGCTATTAAACAGCAATCTCCAATACCAACGAAGTCTCCAAAGCCAATACCAGCCCGGCCTTTATTTACTTTCTCTAATTATAATAATAAAGTTACTACTTTCAATTTCCTACAAAACTATACTGTACAACAAGGATTTACAATTATATCGAAGGGCAATACAAAAAGTAAGAAGAGAGGAGAGGAAGGAATTATTATACGGGTCGATTATTACTATATATACGGCAGTATTTATAAGGCTTCTAGAAAGGGCGTTCGAAATATATCCTTAAAGCGCTTTGACTACTTATATTAAGCAAAAATTGTATTGAAAAAAAAGTAAGGCAACTAATAATTCATTAAAGAAATTAATAATGCTTGTAATTACAAATTAAACGTTACTAATTTCGTTAGTAATATTATTTACTAGTAATAGATTCGATATAATTATAAGGAAATTATAATATAGTTATTGAAAAGTTATTTAGTATTATTAGAATAAACGCCTATTAAATTGCTTACTACTTAAATGGCACCTTCGAAGATAAAAACGTCGCCCCTCCTATTAATATTGCTAATAACCAATTAATTATAAAATTACGTAGTCTTCGAATCCCTATTATAGCCTAGGAAGTTTAGAATATTTAATAGGGTATTCTATAAGTAAAATATAATCTTTATACTTTGACGAAAATATTTATCGATTTACTAAAATAATATAAAGCTATACACAATATCAAATATTATATATACTAGGATCCAACTTTCCCTAACTAATAAAGGGTAGTATAAACCTTCTAGACCTTCGAATAATATATCGAAATATAGAAAAAGAGCCCGCACGTATTATTAATAAATAATATATATAAAGTAAATTATCTATTATTACCCTCATAAATTCAACTACTCAATTTTAAAGTCTTAATTAACCCATTTTTTTTACCTTACAAATTAACCGCTTCAACATTCCCCTACTCAACATCACATGTATTAATACCCTAAGCTATAACTTCAACGTCGCTTTTAACCTCGCCAACAGTAAGAGAGAAGAAGATTTTATTTAACAATTCGCCTACTTAAAGAAGCTTCAAAACGATTATAAAATCTTAGACCCCACCGTCCTCATCAACAATTTCAACAGAAGGTTCAAAAAAGCCGCCATTACCACCTACCTAGAGGTACCGCACCAACTATATATATAGCACGTTATAAAAAACGTAAACTATTATATTAAAAAGAAGTAGGTTCAACTAGAGGGTACTAAGCTAGTCCCCAATACTAACCTACTAAATTCTCCACTAACGGCCTAGGACTTAGATAATAACGGCCCTAATCCGCTATTATATAGAGGCTCCGCGGCCGCGCCCGAAGACGAAGCTAACCCAGACAAATATACCGACAATGACCTAGAGGAGAAAGACCTAAATAAGGCTAAAGATGATGCCGCCGCTAATTGTCTTACTTAATAAGAAGGTCGAGATAATATACAAAAAGCTTATAACGCAATCAACCAACCGGACCGCAATATACTTATTTTCAATCCTAGCTGTCAATTCTACCCTAACTTACATAAAGGGTTCCAAACTACCTAGAAGAAAATTATATATACTAATAACAAAGGTTGCTTTAAAAGGGTATAATAATTACTAATCTATAAATTCAAACGCCAAATTTATATATATTTAATATCCACCCCCCTTCCTCTTTATAATAAATCATATACTTTTTTCTATTCTTTTTTTTTTTTACTGCTAACAATCTATTATCACAACACTACTTACTTACCTCTATAAATACTACTTCCTATAGATTAACAAATTTAAGAATCACGCTATTTCAAACCTTAAGAATTATAATATCAAAGTAACCAATCAAATAGAATTAACGTACAAGGTAATTAAATACTTCCTTAAGAACTGTCTCTGCTTATTAAATTAATTCTATAAATATATATAATCTACCTACCAATTATAAAAGGATCGCTTTTATACCTAATTAGTAGAGGTACGGCAATCCTTTTTATATAAATATAAAAGGGTAGGGATATTTAATAAGTTCGTATTTAAAATTACCTCCTACTCCTTTAAGTTAATATAGTATTAATACTACTATATTTATAATAATTAACTTAAGGATCCGGGTCAAGCTCTATATACTAATTGCAAGAAAGCATTTACGGTTTAGTATAGCCTTCCTTATAAATACATTATTTTGGAATTATTATAAAGGAATCCCCTAGAAGCCCTAATTATTAAGAATATAGATAAGCACTGGTAGTTGATACTAGATAGGAGCAATAGGTTAAACGAAATTTAACGATATAATTTTAATTAACTTCCATCTTACCCCTTCCTTTTTTTATATATATTAACTAACTTTTTATATTAATAAGTATTCAAAATCCAACTACCTTACTTAATTGCTGAAGGAAAACGGCCTTCTCCGACCCTAATATAGAGGATTATATACATAGTATATTAACGCGTAAGAATATAAACCCAGAACTTAATGAGCCGTTCAATATCGAGGGTCCTCCTATTATCTAGCCCGCCGCGCCCATCGACCGCGATCGATATAATAACGCCCGCATACCATTATACAATAAGGAGCCCCGCCAGCCAACATAGCAAAATACCTAGAGAGGAGGGAGGAAAGGAAATATATAGAGAGAGGGTACATAAGGAAGGGGTACATAGAAGGCGTCCCGTACCTATAATAATATTACTTAAGAAGACTTGTAGCGAGCTGTTATAGAAGTAATTAATAATACGGCTAATAATACAGCTAAAATTATTATAACATAATTAACTCTAACTCCAATTCCCTCTCTAATACCTCTATCTTTACCTTTTTACCCTCCAACTCCCTTATAGAAAATTCTAGCGCCCTCCCTATTTCCCTATCCCCAAATCTAGTAATAACCGTTAAATAATCAACTCCAGCGTTTACTAACTCCCGCCAACTCTCGCTAGCTTAATTATAGAGTACTAACGTCTACTAAGTAGCCGTCTCCTATCCCTAATTTAAGCAGTTACTAGAATTAATATAAGGATTAAGTACCAAGTATAACTAAACTTAGGGGTTATATACATACCCGGTTAGAAGTAAGAGAAGCTCTTATAATTCGCACTACAAATTATCGTACTAGGCCAACCAATTCTATTATTACTTGGGCGCCTCCCAAAGACCTAGACCTCGCTTCTCCTCCCTCTAATCAATTGCAATATAATTTACAAAGCTACGTTGTACCAACATCACAGTATAACCAGACCCCTATAGCCATAACACCACCTTCAGTGCCTGCACGGGGCGGAGGATGGGCACTGGGGGACCTGAGTAGGAGGGCAAATCTCTAGCCGCCTCTCCAATACTTTAGGCAGCACTTACACGGCGGGCATCAAAATTAGGATAGGCATTAAAATCAGGGTGGGTATATACACTCTGGGTCTAGGTAGCAAGTATAGCAAGTATAGCAATAAAGCTAATATAGGAGATAATAATATTATTGGCAACCGTAATACTAATACCCTCTATAATAGATAATTGATTGGATTGATAGCTCTGAATAACTTTACGTAAAAGAATAACGACGACAATATAGATTTGTTAATGTACGGGCGTTGATTATGTAGCCTCAGTTGTACGGCTGGATTGGGCGGCTGGGCGGCTTACTCAGCGATAAATGTGGGGGGGACTATGTGCGCACGGAAATGGGTCTATTTGTCCATGGATTTCGATTCTTCCTTATCCCCTCGGGACTTTTTCACCACAAAGGGGCTTTCTACTGAATTTGCATGACGAGGCGGGATGACATGGTCTGGTCCATCCATGCCGCCACAAGGAAACAAAAACAGCTCCCGGCCTTATGATGGACGACCGTTGCTCCAATTGCGGGTTGTGGCATTCCGAGTTCCGATTTATCGAACGATTCCAGTTATCGTTAGTAAAAAGGCACAACGTCTTTGTCTCGCCTTGTCGGTACCTGGTCTCGTCGTTGTCGACATGACATGCTGACGTTTCGTCTACCGCGCGGCACTCGAGCAATGTGGTTAACGACAACGACCACACCAAGTCGGAACTGCAGACACCCGTACTCGCTTCGGAGCACACAACCTGCAAGACTCGTCGTCGACCGTAGCGTTGGGGTCCCTTCATGTCGAATTAGTTTGGCTACAGGTAACCGGCCTGCATCAATGTTGCAGCTGTCGTATCATGCTCTCCTTCTCACCAGCCTAATCAAGCAAGCCATATTGCCCAAGAGTGGGTTTTGTGCAGGGTAGCATATAAACTGGCCGTGGCCGTCCGGACTTCCTGCAGAGCCCGTCGCTCTCGGCCTGGGTAGCCTCAGCGTTGTACCGTAACGATGCGAGAGGGCTTTTTAACTGAGGGGTTGGTGTGTGAGGGATCGAGGCAGCGAACCACCATCGCCAGCGGCATCATCATTGGCGCTAGGACATTGTGTTCCGAAATACCGGATAAACTCCAGGCCATCCTCCTCTTACTAGCAAGTCGTTCCACCGTCTCCCGATTGTTCTACGCGATTCGCCCTCGGCACTGCGTATGTACGTGTATGTATGCTACCACCCAGTGTCATGGTGAAGGACTGATGATTACTGATTAGTTTAAAGGCACAAAGATATTACAAAGGTGCGATCATCAATTGACTTTGTGGCATGTCTCTGGCATCATCAAGACAGGCACGACGGACTGCTAAAGTGAACAGGGTCTGTACCTACCCCAGACGGAACTCGGAATCGCTCGTGAGACTCACATTTATGGCGATGCTCAAGTGGCGGCCGTCGTGCTCCGCGAGATATATCATCGCCCATATAATCACGATTTCCAGCAAACTGGAAGGCGACGATGAGACAACTGCTCAGAGTACAAAGTGATTTGGATGATCGGCTTCGGGGACAAAGCATCGGGTTGGAAGACTATCTGCTATATACTGTGTAACCAGTAAGATGGTGGCCGATATCTCTGTCTACAGGGGCGGACGACGAACACCTTGATTTGAAGATTTCTCCGCTCCAACCACACAGAAGAAAAGCGTCCGATATTTCTTACTTCGCTTTTCCAACCGGAGTGCCTAAAGCGACTGTGTGTTTGGCTGAAGCGACTGTGTGGAGACAAGCTGTAAGTCGTCCAAGTTAACAGAGAAGGTTAGGGTTAGTTAGTGTTAAGGTTAGCGTTTAGGGTTAGGTAGGTTTAGTTCCGAGGGTGTAGGGGGCCGGTGAGAGGCCCACGCGTGTGAATGTGAATTTGGCGTTCAGAAAGACGTGGTTTTGAACTCTCCTTCTCGTCGTCCAAGATGATGACTTCTGGTGGTGTTTTGGCGATGGACTTGATGCCAAGACTTGAGAGAGGCATGGAGTTTTTGCAGCGGAAAGTCTGCTCCACACAGTCGCTTCGGCCGATTACACAGTCTGTGAGATCACGAACAACAACAACGAAAGCAAGCGTGTATACGATTGATTGAGTGTATACTATGGAGGAGCAGAGAAGAGCAGAAGACTAGCGGGAAGTCTGGAGGGCTAAAAGAAGTGGTGCGGTCAGGGCACGGTAGGCACGGCACAAATGTGCCTACCGCGTACAAGACCTACCAACACACCCCCATAGACCGGAAGACCGCCATCTACAAAGTGCTCAATCCTTCTTATTTACTATTTATATAATAATAATATCTTAAAATTTATACCCAAGGAACCTTCTTCTAAACCAAGCCAATCATCTTCACAAACTTTACATACTTATTTAACTTTAGCAGCTTTGTAAAGCCGTCAACCGGTATCTCCTCTCCCAAAAAATACTCAACCGTAAATACCTTCCTATCCACCTCTTAAATAAACCATTTATACCTAATATCAATATACTTATTCCTACAAAAGATATTAAGGTTTAAAACCTTATTTCTAATATTACTATTATCTATATACAATATTTTATTAACCTTATTAAAACCCAATTCTACACCCAAATTATCGAATATCCTGCTAATCCAATCCAAAGACTTCGCAATAGGTACCAAATTAATAAACTCTACTTCTATCGTACTAGTAATAATAAAATCCTATTTCTTAAACTTCCAAAGAATAAGGCTACAAATAAAGGATACAGTGTAACTAGTAGTACTCTTCCTAATTACAATATTATCTACAAATAAAGCATTTACATAGGCATAAAAAAGTGGAGCTATTAATAATAATAGTATTCCTCCCAATACAATACCCAAATCGGAATATTTTATTAAATATTTTTAAAAAATACTTTATAATAACGAAATATATATCAATAAACGTACAATTGCCTTTTAATAGCTTATTTATTATATAAGTAATATCTAATTTAATACTAATAGAAACCTAATTTAATAAACTAATTCTCTTGAAGTACAACTTAATTTCTTTAATGTTAGATACCTTAATACGCTTATAGACCTTAAAATCCGGTAACCATAATATTTTAACGCTGTAGAATTTAATTTTATTAAATTTATTAATAATTATATAAGTATATCGTTTTTAGAAAATAAAAATCATACGAATTTATCGATCCCTAACAATATCGAAACCTAAAAATATTCGAACCTTACTAAATTCTTTAAATTTAAAATATTTAATTAAATAATTCTTAACTTTCTAAATATTCCTAATAATTAGCGCAACAATAAAAAGGTCGTCAACATAAAGAACTAGTGATATATTAAACTATTTATTAATAAAAAGATAAAAATCCGTATAAATAGGTACGAATTCTAAAATTTAAAAGATTAGAATAAAGGTTTAAAATTAAAATAGAGGATTACGTTTAAAACCGTACAAAATTCTATAGAGAAGGTAAATAATCTAATTTTTAACATAACTTAATAATACTTTTTCGAATCTAATTAGTTATTAAATATTTAATACCCTTTAAAATAGGGGTATTAAAGAAGGCCGTATTAAAATCGAATTAAAAATATTCGTAATTATTTATGATCATAATAGCTACAAAAACACTTTACGCTAATTAAATATATATAATAGCCGTATATATCTCCTATATCGCCTATAAACTATTTTTATAATTACTGCAAATAACCTATCTTATTCTTACGAACTAATTTTTTATATTAATATTAAACTTCTCGTTATACACCTATTTACTAAGGAGAACCTCCATATCAACAATTCTTACAATGAAGGTATAAACTTCTCTATTCTCTAATATTTTAATTTACTTCTTCATTACAAAGAGCTAATAAAATTCGTAATTATTTTAACTATATATTCGTCGATAATTCTTAGGGATAAATTTCTAAATTTTCGTTACAGTAGCAAAATATATATCGTAATAAAATTTAACAGCTATAAAACAAAAATAATAATCGCGTTTAACAAAATAACCCTCCATTATACTATATAAATTATTAAGGAATATAACCGACCCCTAAATAATATTACCCTAACTATTTTTAACTCTTTAAATATTATATTTATAACTTAATAATTTAGTATTAAAATAAAGAAATTTGCCTTTATTTACCTTTAAACGCAACGTATATATATTGAACCCGGAGGGTTAACTTCCCTATAATACCTAAATTATAAATTCCGAAGGTTGAATTGGATGTTAGAATAATATAATCGGAGGCTCCGACGCCTAAATCGGAAATTCTCGGAGGTAAATTGGAAATTATAGGTTTTAAACTGGAATGTATAATTATTATACTAATTGCAATTATAATTTACCAATTCGTATTATTAAAGAAGGAGTATATCATCACGTACGAATCGGATTCAATATACCTATAGGAAGCAAACGTACCGCTAAAGTAAAGTTTTATAAAACGTTAAGCAAAGGAATACCTAATATAATATATATAATTAATTCTTTTTTATTATCGTCAGAATCTCATCAATTATAGGGTCTTAGGTCCTCGTCATCAAAATCCTTCAAATCTAATAAATTATCGTCCTTAACTATAAATTTAATATTTAAGAAGGGAAGGCATAAATATTATAATAAATTTAAAAATAAAGAAAAATATAAAAATTTTAAAATTACTACCAGGGAGATTAAAGCTTACTAAATATTCGAAGTAACTAATTATTACGGGGGAGTTAGAGGTACTAGCGGTAATACTAAGAGAATTAACAGATTTTAGGGTATTAGAATTGCCTTTAAAATAAGTAGGACTATCACGATTAGTTCCTATAATTTCTTAATAACGTATTAAAAAGGGGGTAGAAATACTTATTATTATTATTAAAATTGAAGGACTTTACTATTAACTTTAAACCAAATCTAATAACCATTATCTATAACTTTATTAATCTCATTAATAATCTAATTACAAAAGATAATATAATATTATAAAATATTACCGTTACTATCGAGGATTGGATTCTTCTTAATAATTAGGTCCTCATCAAAAAAAATAACCGCACTAATTCAAAATCTTTTACTAATATTAAGATTCTAAATAAAACCGATACAACCGTACAAATTATCAAAGCTAATAAAATAACCTTTCTAAACTTTAGTACCAAATTCATCGCCTTAAAATCGTTTTTCTAATTTAATAAAATAATAAATAATATAGAAATAAAATTGTAAATACTTAATATAAGGCTTTTTAATTTCTTCTAGAAAATTAACAGCCTCTATAAATAACTCCTATAAATTCCTACCTTTTTTATTAATTTTGAATAAAAATAAATTAAAGGCTCTAACGATATAATTAACCACGAAAGGCTAAAAATACTCTAAAATACTAAGGTCTATTATTAAAACTCTAATACATTATATAATAATAGCGCTAACCATTTCAATTTTACCCTATATCCAAAAGGTATAAAGTATTAACTTAAAAAATTTAACGCCTTCTATACAAGCCTAATTTATAAATTTACTACGCTAAAATTCTTTAATACTAAAACTAAATTCTAGACTACCGTTAAAACTAAATACTCTAATTTTAAACCTACTACATTAAAATACTACCCATTTCCTAAACTTTTTAATTTATATAAATATATCGCTATTATTAACTATAAATTTAACCCAATAGAATCTAATTCCTTCGCAAATAAAATAAATTATATATTTATAGCCCTTATATCTAAACAAAGTATAGAGAACAATATTAACGTAAATATAGGCTATAAATTAATCTATAACCTTATTAATAATCTTAAAAATAATATTATAAACCTTAGTTTTAACGTATACCTCACAGAAATACTCTTAAATATTATTTAGTGTAATACTAACTACTTTACAAACTTTGAGAATTTAGTTTTTACCTACGTACATAAAACGACAATATATTATTAAATAATTAATTAATACTAGCAATACTAATCGAAAGGATAAATTATTTTAATCGAAGTCTTTATACTAAAATACTAGCAAAACTAGTAGATTGTTCACCTAATATTATTAAATAGTAACGCTATAAGTATTAATCTAATTAATACGCATATCCCAGCACATTCCATTATCAAAAAAACCCTTAATTATTAATAAATTAACTAATATAAAAGAATTAAATATAACGTTCTTCATTTTAACCCTAACGTTACTTTTATTATTAAAAGTAAATAAAAATAACTCTACTATACCTATATAATAAATATATGTAGAATTACTATTACTAATAATATAAATAATAAGAAATAAAAAAAACTAGATATTTGTAACCAATTTAAAATAATTAAAAATATTAAACGCGCAATCTAAATTGTAAATAACGAAATCATATAAAGTCTAATACCTTAGAGCCTATTAACTTTTAGCAAAATTACTTTAAGTATATTAAAATTAAAATTAATTAGAATCTTATACTTAATTTAAATAATTAAACTAAATAATATCAACACGCTATATTATATCTACTAGGGGCTCTAATAAAAATTCATACTACTAAAGGCCATAAACATTCCACTAGTATATAATAGGATAAAATTCGGAGCAATAATGGCTAGGGTAGTAAAATTAGTAGAAGTATTATTACCCAAAGTACTAATACTAGTAGTAATAGCAGCGGCCTTCTTAGTAATAATATCCTTTTTAAACCTCTAAGAATCAAGAGCCTACTCCGAATTACAAAACCAATAAATATCTGCCTTAATCGTAACATAATAACCGCAAAGCATATACTTCTACCAATTATAAACCTTCTTATCGTATTTAATATAATCGATTTTCTTATCCTTATCCTTATCGCTATCCTTCTTATTCAATATTTTAGAAAATAAAAAAATATTACCTATCTTCTAAATATTAATATTAAAATTAGAAATATAAACTTCGGTATTACTAATATTACTAAACGTAACTAATAGGCTACCGACCGTAAGGAACTTATCCTCGAAGGAAGTAGTCTAATACTTTACATCGACCATATAGTAATACTTAATAACGTTAAATAGAAAAATAACTTCGAAATCGTTAATAAATTCGAACTTAATATCTTGAACACACTTCCAAAATAAAATATAACGTAAAAGGGAAGAAGCCATAGTATCAAAATTATTTCGCTTAATAAATAAAAACTTAGTAAGGACTTCGCTACGAACTTCGTTAATAATACAAGCAATATAAAACTAAATAAAATCGTAAAGGACCTTAGGGTCTTTATTCTTCCTATTCTAACTATTAATAATAAGGGTAATAATAACTTCCTTATCCTTAAACGTAGCCAATAGAATTTTTATAGCGTTAACGCGCTTAATAAACTAAACCTTATAAACTTTTATATCGTCGGCATCAAGCTCCTTAACAATACTAAAAATATAATTGGTAAAACCAAAGCAATCGAACTCAACCTCGAAGCCCTATTCCTAAACATTAATATTACGCTCGCCTTCAAATTAAACGAAGGAGGACGTAAACAAAAATATAATAGTAATAATAAAGGTATCGCATATCTAATTAAATAGATTCGCATAAATCGCTAAACTTAACGCTTAAAGGTTTAATTAATTTTAAATTGCTTAACTAATTAATAGTAAACTTATCGCTAATTATTATAATTAAGGAAGGGAAGTAAAATAATAAATATTGCCTAAAATCTTCATAGGCGAAGTAGCTAGGGTAAACTTATCGCGAATCGATCGAATCGAAATCGCTAAATAAGCTGAACCTTTACTACAATACCAAAATAAAAATATACGATTGAACGATAAATACGCGCGCTTACAAAGAAAGTTTAAGAGGGCTCATAACCTATAAGATTACGAACAACAACAACGAAAGCAAGCGTATATACGATTGATTAAATATATACTATAGAGGAGAAGAAAAGAGCAGAAGACTAGCGGGAAGTCTAGAGGGCTAAAAGAAGTAGTGCGGTCAGGGCACGGTGGGCACGGCACAGATGTGCCTGCCGCGTGCAGGACCCACTAACACAGTCGCTTTAGGCACCCCGTTTCCAACAACCAGTCACTTCGTCTCCAGCCTTCGGGCATCATCACCAGCCAAACGGATCGTCCCGCATCGAAACCGTCTGGCTGGGACCGAGACGAACCCATCCAAGGAGGACGTTCCCTTCCTTTTAAGCTCAAGGTGGAACCGAAACATCTTACTCAACCCAAGGAGGCGAGGTATTCTACCGCTTTTTCTCGTTCGATTTGGATACCCCCAAACTGCGCTAAGGTCAAAACTAGCAAAGCCTAACACAATCCCACCAATGCTATTACTAGATCGTTCCCAAGGAACCAACTGATCCACGTTGGCAAACCTGTGATCGGTTGTAACCCGTATTAACTCACTAACAGATTGGTTGAAGCCCCTATTGGGTTCAAATATACCCAGTGCTATACCTATTTTGAGGGTATCCAAATTGAACGAGAAAAAGCGGTGTTCTTGCGTTGTTAAGCCGAATTCACGATATGCCTGGGAGTGAGACAGCATCATGAAAAACGACACATGAATCTGACAGCCTGGACAATATCAGGTATAGTAGCCCAGCGACAATTTCCGCTCCAGGAAGTCCAATACGGAAACCCTAGAGGTATGGAGATGTTACAGTATGTCGGAAATAGCCAACGGATTTATTCTGACTGTTATATCTGGGGTCGTGTAATCTCTTGGAAGTTCATGAGCTGCCTGTTACACACCATGAGATATCAACAAGCATCACTCAATAATTCATGACTGCTTACTAGGCGACTTATGCTCAGGGCATAAAATATGGGCAGTGAACAGTAGACGACTAATTAGACCCAACATCACCACCGCCACAATCCGCCTCAGGGGCTGCACAAAGGGTAGAAGATCGTGAAAACGGACGGGTCCCGTCAGAAAAAAAACAGTTGACGCCTGTCAGGCCAAGGCACGCCAGGCTCCTGGGCATAGTAGAAGTCCGGTAAAGACAAGAACGGATTACAGTCCAGTACCAAATACCGTTTCCTATTGACACAAGCACCGTAAGTGCACGGATCAGTTGTTGTTTACTACGGAGCTCCAAGCGCAATCGGTAGCTGGGTAGTCCCAAACTGGTCTCTGGGTAGTCCCCTCCACTTTTTAGGGTGTACAGCCAATCTCTAGCTCCCAACTATACCTATTAATTTTATATCACCAACCAAATATATTCGCGCGCGCCTTCTAATTTAAAACTATCGCTATCTCTATCATTATCGCTACTCGTTATTGCCCACTAATTAGACGGTCAGTTTTAAAGACTTAACGAGTATCGCTATTACTATCAATGGGATCATTATTGTATCGTTTGCGGCTTCCTTATAATTCGCTATGATACTTTCGCTTCTTGGTTTGTTAGTCCTTAGATAGATTGTAGACCTACTCTCCCTTATCTAGTTTGTCGAGAAGTGTATCCTACTTTGCCCAATTCTTTATTAAGATAGTAGTAATAAGGGGCGATATTAACGCCAACTCTAATAACATTAATAATATTAATAGCTTCAAAGTTTTTGCGTAGTACGACACATAGATAGCTTCGCGCCCAAAAAAGAGTGGGGGGGGACTACCTAGGGACCAGTTTGGGACTACCCAGTTACCGATTTCGAGCTCCAAGGCGCTAAACTATGATCAACTCCGTACTGCATAGGGGTGTACGCAGGAAACAGTAAATTTAGCGTAAAATAACAGTTGAAAATTTCAAACGTTTACCACAGCACTAAGAATTGAGCAACCGTTGGTAAAAATGTAAACGTTTATAGTCCAAGTCGTCTTAGCACGACCAAACGTCTAAAAATAAAACGTCTAAGCCAACCTAATATCATAAGGCCTTATAGTGCAAAAGGATAGTGCACCTTTTTAGTACTTTTTTTTCTTTTTTTTTTTTTTTTTTCTTCTTCTTAGTGATGTATCTTCTTGGTAATATATCTTTTTGGTGTTCACTTGGTGATGCACCTTGGTATTTAGACTTAACTTTCAAATTGGGACATTACGAAAAACATTACACGGTTAGGATTCGAATACAGGACTTGGGTAAAAGATCAATTTCTATCTACGCGCGAGACTATTTGGTTAAAAGACTATTTCTATCTAATCGAAGAAAGTACTCGAAGGTAAAACTTAAATAGGAAGGTACTCTCTCTTCTACCCTAAAGATCCTAAAGGTCCTAATAGGTAGATATTTAACCTTAAATATTACAGAATTCCCAAACGTTTGGCTATATCAACCGATATTTTACCATTAGGTCCACTTAAACGTCTAATATAGCCAACGTTGATGTTTTATAACGTTTAACAGCATTTTATAGTAAATTTACAATAATTTAAATTTCAACGGTCGAATAACTGTTGGCCACACCCCCCCCCTCCCCCCCCCCTTTTTTAGTACGGCTGTTACGAGCTGTGTCCGTTACCAAGGATCAAGCTACTAATGTTCAGCAAGTTCGCAGCTTCCATCCACTGGACTTTCTTTCACAGGGAAGCCACGTCCCAAACTGTCGGGTCTGACAGTCATTTCATGGTAATTTTCATTATCCATATCCCCCCTTACGTTTGGTACTGAGGTATCTTTCACCGCTGCGAGGTTTTGCTGGAGGGTGCTGTTTTCTTTTTTACAAGCTGGATAGCATTCATCCATCCAGCCCCTCCATTTACAATTTTTTCCATCTTCATTCCATTTTGTCAACACGTCATCCTCAGTTTTTGGATCCCGGAGGACCGCTAAATGGTGCTAGCCACGTTTTTTACATACCTTCCCAATTGATGATCATCGGCTGGTGTCTCTTTGACGAACGGACAATCCTCAGCCCGCTCCTATTATCAGATGAGACAGATGACTGTCACTGCAACACAAAAATGCATGGCACGATATCGACAACGATAAGCTCAAAAGTCTTCGCTGCGGAGAATTACTACACACTTCACCTGCGATGCAAAATTGGCAGATGGCCTAGCATTCAGTCAGATGGAGTGCATTGCATGCTGCGCAGCGTAAGCAACACCTTAAACGGAGCCTTTTAAATCCATTTTACATCTCCCAACAACTGGAACTCATCATCCTTCACCACCTTTGTGTATCGTTGTGGATGTGCCAGGGTGGCATGTTTATGTACGGAATCCGTGGAAAAGAACAGACTTCAGTTCGGTGTGGATATGTGTTGTTGACTTGTCATTTCTTTTTACCGTATTTTACCATTTTGCTCCGTTTTGTGGTTTAGGTCAGCAACCTTCTGTCAACTCTGCGGGTTTCTTGGGCCCCAATGTCTCGAATGGGTATGCCTCACTGAGGATCATTGCGGGGTCACAGCCAGTACATGATGAGACACACTTTGTGAATTTTTTCTGTTCCCCGTGAGCGTGGTAAGAAATGTGAGTTGTGATGAGGCAGACCCGACAAGTTTCGAGCGCGACAGAGCTTATCGTGAGCAGCGACGGCTTCCTTCATTCAGCAGCCTGAAAGGACAAAGCACGCGCACGTCCATAGTCGCAAGCCAGGGTCGCAACACAGCAGGCGGGGGTTCCATCAGAGCAAGCCGATGGACGGACACACCACGACTCTGCGAAACGACAAAGAGAAATCGTACCAATACGAAACCATTGGAGCGCATCGTGTTGCTCTGTTGGGGAGATGTTTGTTTGGTACCTTTGGCTTTCTGCAGTTGTTGTCCAACCGCTTTCGCTCACCGTACCCGACATTCCATGTTTGTTGTTCAGTGTCCTCGTTTTTTCGGTCTTTAGTTTCCCTTCTCTGCTTCCGCTTCCCCTTTGTTTTGCATTGTCCAATTGTCCACCATCCTCAGGTCATGTCGGGTTCCATTTCCATATTGAAATTCCCGACAATTCCAGATTGCAGGATAGCAATACCCTCCTGCTCCGAGGCAGGCCAGAACGCAGTAGTACGCCCGTAGTAGTCCATTCGGAAGCCCTGCCTGCGCGAACGGAAGTTGCTTTTTGTTTTCTGTCCGAGCGACTGGCTCCCCAGCGATTCTCTCAAGATCCTCGGCATGGCATGGTACGGCATGGCGTGAGAGAGGGGCCGGTAAAACAAAGTGATAGCTCACAACATTGAAAGGATTTTTGTTTTGTTTTGTTTTGTGAGCACTTTTTACCAAACACTCGGAATTTTCCCTGTGCGGAGATCTGAAAAAGCATAAATTCCTTAGTATCGCTCAAGCTGGGCAATGATCAACACGGGCAAGTCCACGGGGCGTGTGGCTCCTTCCTGGGCTCTGTAGCTCTCTTACCAAACAAAACCATCACGATAAATCACCACGACACTTTTCTTCCTTGATCCCCGCCAGCCCGCCAGCCCCGGCAGCCAGCCGCCTGCTCGGTGTGCGGAGAGGGAAGAGGGAAGGGAAGGGAAGGGAAGCAACCCGCGGGTTCGGTTGAGGCTTGACCTTGTGAGTGAGCCAAGAGTGATTTACCGGGCCCATGCAGTCCTTGGGCTCTGCTTGGTCATCACTGCATCATCACTCAATTTCTCGTTACCAACTGCTTGGGCTATCCGAATGCCGTCTCCGGATTTTTCAAAGCCTTTCGTGAGCGCTCCCTAGTATTAGGGTAGGTACGGTACACACTATATACGCCTACTTAACCTAGGCACTGGGTTACTGCCTGACTCAGGCCACGGCAGGCGTAAGCCTGACTCAGGCCACGGTAGGCGTGAGCCCAGCCGGCCACCAATCCTGTATTTAGTTAGACTCTAGCCTCCACAGTAGATTGGAAGGCCATCTTCTACCAATACATCATCTTTGCCAGTACCTTCGTACCGTGCCCGTCACACCTTTTGTCTCAAATCTTGTCATCCCTCCGGACGGGGTTCGAGCCCATCGGAAAAAAAAGGACCCTTTACCATCCTCATGATCGCTAAAAAAGAACACCCCTTTTCTTGGCCGTCTAACGCAGAGTTTCATATGTTCCCTGATTTGGTATCTTTACTTTGAGACGAAGAGCCCGTCAACTCCAACGTGAAAATACACTCAGGCACAAAACGGAAGCAAGATACTGGACTGGAGCTACCAAAAAACCTCATGATACACGTGCCCATGGTTCCTGGAATCATTGGCGGGACATGCTGCTAATGCACCACGTTTTTCTTTCCTGCTTCCCCGGCCCATGTTCCCTGACAGTGTGTAGGGTTCTCTACAGGTGTAGGGACCCCTAACGATGGAGATGTAGACGGAGACGGAGATGGAGACGAGCGGCGAAGAATCCAGTCCATCGGCCGCGGAAAGCAGAACTTCCATTGCATGACATGACGGTACGGGAGGGAGGGAGCAAGTGCAAGTGCAAAATACTGTACGCTATTGTGTACGCTACAGTAATGCGAAAATCGACCAGCCTCATTCCAGCCTCCGGGAAACCAGGGGCGGCGAGGAGCCGAGGACGAGGACTTTTTGGCGAGTCGTTAGCCAGGGGGGCTAACCGGCTCTTGGGATTTTCTTTTGCACGCAGAAAAGAATAATGACATTTCCTTCCATACGAACACGGCTTGATTACTATTCATGCCCATTTGTCGAAGCGAAGGTTCGCCAAAGACCGTCAACCTCCAAGAACGGGCAAGTTGCCTAGGCGTTCAAAACAACGTGACCATGTTCGTTGTTCGCCAAACGTGTTCGAGAAACAAAACGGTCCATGAAGAAGGACGAGGATCTAGGAACTAGAAATGGCTGCAAAAGAAGAACCTGTTTTGCCCAGCGAATAAGTCTCCGAAAAAGTCTCCGAAAAAAAGAAAGAGATGTGTTATGGAAAGGTTTGCTTCCGGTGTTGATCAGGTTGATCACTTACAGGTGGTGATGACTGTGATGGGCGAGGGTGGGTAAGGGGGATTATCCAAGTTCCTGTCGCTATTGTCTTTACGTTTCTCAAGTCCCGTGCTTGTTCTGTTCATCTGTGGTCACTGCAGTGCATTTGGACACAGATTGATCACTGAGGTCATCGTGACCTATGTCATCCGTGCTCCAAGATGTCTCGAGCTTTCCGACGAGGGCCTCCTTTACACTACACTTGAAGTTTAACAGCGGGAAACATCAAAGCTTCACATCGTCAACCTCATGGATCTCGCTACCGGTCTTCCTCAAGCAACCTTCGTCTCTGACATTGATGTGGGGTTCTGTCAGCAAGTGATTTGTCGCTAACATCCTCAGTGGCGTTCTTGGGTAGAAGTTCTTAAAGGCGACTTTCAGTGGAGCGCTTGTTGTTGGACCGCGGCAGAGTGAGTTCCTCTTGGATGGATGGGCACTAGTTTGTACAAGAAATCATTGCTCGCTGTGCAATTGAATCATGTAGAATGAGTCGTTTCCTGTGCGTCACCCTAGTTCCATGCCCATGCACTGTATTTCTAGGCTACTGTCGGTAACCGGGCAGTCACTCGGTATAGGCTGCAGCGAACCATCAGGTGGATGCTTGCTATCAGTGGGCAATCCTTCCACGACAGTTGATGCTGTGACGCGAGATCGAAAATCTTGCTTCCAAAAAACGTCACCCTCACGACAACAACCATCTTTCGCCCTCTTACATTCGACATCCGCACCAAGCGAACGCAACCCGCATCGCCAGTTAGACGCGCCGCTCTCCGAACAATCCTCCGTGCTGCTGCCCCTCCTCCCCTCCCGACCACCATCGACACCTCCGACCTCGTCTACCGAACACCAGTGACTGTGCAAATCAAACTGCACAGTCAGGCGCATTGCCACCAGGGTTCACTTAAAAGTCCTTGATGCACCCAGGCTCGACCGAGACTCCTGTATCGTTACCCCGAGATCCAAATCCAATATCTTCCGACCAAGCCGCCCAACATGGCTCGCCTCGCTCCCAGCCAAGCTCCCCAGATGATGCCTCTCCTCACGAGAGCATCTTTGGCGGAGATGTCGCTTCTGGGAGTGACGATGGCCATCGCTTCGATCAAGACTTTGGCCGACTGAGGGCCGCCGACTATGTCTCCGCGGCCCAACCGGTTATGACTGCTGGTCAACGCATCGTTGAATATGAAAACGCCTTACTACTGTCGCGACAACACACCCCGCATACATTGGCGTTCCAAGTTGTTAAGAACGCTTCTTCCTCCCCGGGACGCGTCAAGTTGACAGATTTCCCCAACGGTATGTCCATTTGGGTCGCGTGGTTGATATTCCCATTGCGCTGGGCTCGTAGCTTACAGATACTCTCCCAGAAATCCTGACCCATATCCTATCGCATCTGCACCCCGATTCTCACGGAGACGTCGCTCTGGTCTCGAAGCGCTTCTACCACCTCGTTGCGGCCCCCTATGCCTGGCGCAGAGCCTTCCTGCGCAACTTTCCTGGCCAAGAATCGTTACTCTCGGCAAAGAAAAAGAGCGAGTTCGCCAACGACGATGGAGAGGTGGACAGAATACGCTCCGAGTCTCGGTACTTTGCCAGACTGAGCGCCATGGCCACATGGCGTAGCGAGTATCTTCTCCGCACTCGGCTGCTCAGGAGTGTGTCCCGCGGAAAACCCGACGGCTCCTCGAACCTTTCAATCCAGTCTGGAAAGAAGGCAGCCGCCGTGTTGACATATAGCCCAAGGCTTTCTTGGATGGTCACCCATTTGCACGCCGTATTTTCCGGTAATCGGAATGGGCCGCGTGTGATGCATGGTTCCAGGGATATAGGAATGGCGTCTGTCAGCGATCCTACCACTGGTAAAATCGAAAAGCTGGGTATGGATGACCAGTTTCACTTTCAGCAGCTGGACGAAATTCATCCCGGTCTCGTGTACTACGGAATGGGCGACGGACCAGCAGCGGTCCCCAACGTCATCGACGTTAGTCAGCCCTATGGTCTAATCGGCGCCGAAGCGTTCCCTGGTGGTCGGGTTTACTTCAAACCACAAGGTCAGCTGCGCGGCCGATTCCTGGGAATCGTACCGGAAACAGTCGATGACGATCCTGAGATTCCCCAAATTCCCGAGCTCTTGGATGCCGTCTGCTCCGTTTGGATCGCAAAGTCGCCCAATGTACCGACAGCGACCGACTCGATGATTGGTATGTTCACTGGCTCAACGCTCGGCATAGTGACCGCTTATACTCTTGGTTATGAAATCTCGGGTCGCCGCGCCGGCAACCGCGTTGGCGAGATCACCGCGCGCTGGGTGCTCAGCCCTGGCGTGCCTATTGTGGACATCAAGGTCGATGACAACTACAACTTGAGACGCAAAGGCATGAACAGAGTTTGGGCTGTTGCTCTGAATGCACTCGGAGAAGTTTTCTATCTAATCCAGACACCGACTCCTTCTTCAACTCGTGGAAAGTCGACAACTCTGCTCAAGGATGCCTGGGATGCCGGACGCACTGCTTATTGGGAGATGATCGAAGCCACCCGGCGTATCGCAGCACCTGATGATTTCGACAAGAACGCAGCTGATGGTTCATACTCACCGCGCTCATCGGCAAATTTCATGAATCTGAGCAGGGCACAAATCTTTGCTGAGGCTCGAGAGATTGAATCTTTCTTCCGCCGTAAACCAGCTGATTTCCGGAGAGCTTGCTTAGGCTGGGATATGCAACGGAAACTCGAAGTTGACTTTGCTGCCGGTGATGAAAATGGCAGCGAGGCCATTTTCGAGATCGATTGCGGTTTGGAGGAGGGCGTCCCTCCTGCTGTTCGGAGATATGTTAGACACAAGGCTAGCCCGGTGGTCAATCCAGAAAAGGTTGCGGCCTTGTTGTCTTCAGCACCCACAGCCTCTATTTTTAGGGGTACGGAGACGCCGAAAAGCTTGGATTCTCTTCCTCAGTCCACCACCGTCGATGGAGAGAAGCCTACGGCCATTTACGCCTCAAGCGGAGCACCCTCGACCTCAGCCACGCCCGCAGGAGACATGATTAATGGTTGGTCTGTCACTGACTACAAGCTAAAGATGCCTCTAGGGGCAGAAATCACCGCCAGCGCCATTGATTTGTCTACCTATGCTGTCATGGCGGCATTTGAGGACCCTCTTTGCTTCGAGCATGATGGAAGTGGCGCCACGTCGAAGGAGATTCCTGGTCGCCGCGCCCGCTATCTTGCTGTAGGAACCAGCACCGGCTCAGTGAACGTGTGGAACATAAGAGATCATCACTCTTCCCATATGGTCATGCCTTTGCGGGTCATTCAGACCGACTCACCCGCTATCTCTAGTCTTGCCCTTTCGGCTCTTTATCTACTTCACGGCGGTACTGACGGCGTGGTCCAAGCATGGGACCCGTTGGCTTCAACAAATGAACCTATCCGAACCCTCAATGCAAAGATGTTGGGCCGGATCCCTCGTCCCATTCTCTCACAAGCTCCTGCGATGGAACGAAATGTCTACTCTGCTGTTCGCGCCATCTTCTTGGATCCCGATCCGACTGTCCTTCGAGGCGTGTCGGCATGGGGCAACAACATCAGGTTCTGGTCTTATAGCTCCACGAATCAAACCCCAGGCCGGAAGCGACGTCACAGGCATAACGACGTACACGGCCGGCTTACCAGTCGTAGAACCAGCCACCACGTCTCTGGCTTCATTGCCGCGGAAGAGGCGGAGCTTATCCACGAGGAGGAGACGCGCACTCGCGAGACGGCTCGGCTCCGTTCGCGGTTTGGGCAAGGCTTGGCAGATATGACTGAGGAAGAAGCACTTCTTTATGCCCAAATGATTTCCGAGGAGGACTTCATCAAGCAAGAGTCGCTTCGGTTGGCAGCTGAGGCAGAGATGGGATCGACTGCTGATGAAGAATGGGAAAGGTTGCCGTCCACGGGGAGCAGCGCTGACCAGCTTACACCCGAGCCTAGCCTTCCTGGCGCTAGCCCGAGTGTGGCGGGAAGCGGTGCGAATCTCCCGACTGTCAATGCAGAGTCAGAGGAGGAAATGATCCAACGGGCTATTCGCCTGTCACTGCTTGAAAGCAACGGCGGCGTGGATGATGCTGTTGCAGTGGCACCGGCACCGGCACCAGAACCAGCAGCAGCAGAAGCAGAGCAGTACCCTCCTCGCAGCCCGAGCCCCCTACCCGAGTTCTCCATCAAGGTGAAGCCCTTGAAGGGCAAAGGAAAGAGCAAGCAACCTTATCTTGCGACTGGATCCTCCTCATCTCACAGCACGCCGGTCAGCTCCTTCCCCGAGACCGGTTACATCAACGGCTCGGCCTTCGGGCTGGATCCTTCCGACATTGCCTACGATACCGTCCCGGCAGCAGCAACTGCACACACCGAGTTTGGCGGTGATGTTGACGAGGATCTGGCTCTTGCTTTGAGGTTGAGCTTAGAGGAGGAACAAGCCCGCCAGGGCCGGATGGCGCATGAGAACGGTATAGCGATGGCTTCTGATGTGCGACACGCGTTGGAGAACTCGGAAGAGTTTCCGAGGTTGGATGTGAAGGGGAAGGGGAAGGGTAAGATGATTTGAAGTATTTGTTGGATGGTCAAGTTGATGGGATGTTGATGGATATGAAAGTTATTATGTTAGTGCTTGGAAAGTTGGAAGTTCGTTTCCCCGTAGTTGGTCTTGATCGTACCGTCCCGGAGCATCTTCAGGCTCTCCAGGTTGGTAGATCATAGAATACTAGCGTTATTGCGCTTTGACTGCGCTCTATGAGGTTGAACAGGAGCGCAGAATTGTTTGAAGCCTTATCGGGATGTCTTTCTTTGCATGATCCAGCATGACTTGGGGGTGTATGCCTGTTCAGGTTCTCGGCGGGTCAATCGCGTGTGTACCTTCCTCGTCCATATGCCGGGTCTCGCTGTTGCCTAGCCTGTTATTAGAACAAGAGGGAAGGAACAGTGATTCGAAGAGCGCATGTGAAGGCCTGGTGTGTAAAATCGGCAGGTATGAACGATTGACCAGGTTCCATTGTGTTTGGCCCACCTGACCCAGATTGCGTCTGATGGCCACCTTGCCATCTTCTCTCTCCTGCCTCACTATCACTTCACATCATCGGTTGTTCATCGCACACGTTTCAGAAGCCCTCATCTGCGCCTCAATCTTGACTTTCTTCCGGTGTCCAGATTGCTCATATATGTATAGGTAGCGCTGCACTCGAGGCATATCTACCTGCTAACGCAAGTCCAGATCCCCCCATGCTTTGCAAGGAAGGAGTTCGAAAGCATGTCGTACGACCCTCTGTGCCTGAACCCATACCTGGTGTACCTTGTGGACGGTTGAACAGGCCTTTCTCCCCAGACGGATAGGTCTCGTCAACATCCGACCATGCAAAAGGTAGGGCATTTTAGGTGTTGTACAGATGAAGGGATCCGAGTTCGAGAACCACAAAGACGGGATGTCTCAGCACTGCCTGCCCAAAGTCTTAATGGGGATATGCGACGATAACAAAAGCATATCATGTATATTAAGCTTCCATGCACTCACCCCTTTGCCTCCAGGCACCCAAAATTTCACCAAGGTTCCGAAGCACTCCTCAATATCTTCAGCAAACTCTTTACTACTATCTTCAAACTTGGTAGTGTAATCGATCTACCATAACCAAACTTCGCAACGCAAGTCTTTTAAACATCTCGGCTATTGGAATCCTACTCATCGTGTATTCGTGCCCAGAGGGACCGATTTTTGCCACGTACTCAGAATATAATCAACGATTATCTTAGGGAATTGCAAAAAAGGATGAGCACATCATGCATTGGCTTAAGAACCTAAAAACAGATAATATTGGCTATAAAGATGGCCGATATGCGGGAAATGTTGGGAAGGCTGTAAAGTTTGGGTGCGCGTAGGTTTTGGGGTGGGTGCACGGAGGGTTACTCTTTATATTCTAACAGGTCAGGCTATGAGTTTTGCTCCCATCTCTTTGCAAGTTTCGCGATTATCCCTCTTTTTACACTCTCATCACGAACCCGCTTGTTCGTTCAACTTTGAGATTACAAACAGCATACCTTCTACCATGGAGCCACTCATCAAAAATCCTATGATATCTGGCAAATTTGGGCCACGGTCGGACTGTGTTGACCAAGATAACAACAACTGGAAGCCAGGCGTTCTCAGACGTTTTCCCTGGCTTGGAGTCATCCCGTTGATATTGAGTATCTGTTGTGAGTACACAACTCAACCTGCACGCCCGAACCGATCTTAATCCAGCACCGGCCACTCACATACTGTCTTGTCCGTTTAGGCACAGGACTTGCCATTGGAGTCGTTCTTGAGAGCAGTGGTCAGCCAGAGGCGGATTGGTCTGGACTCAAGCAACCAGGTGTTCTTTTGGCCTACACCTCAACTCTTGCAAACGCATTGACTGGGCTTGCTTTCGCCCAAGCAGCGGTGGTTTTCTGGACACAGGCTGTGCAGCCAATGCCAGTTGAGTATCTTCTTTCTTTCTTTATTAAACCCATACCTTGCTAACACATTAGCTAGGTCAGCAACCTGCACTATTACTGGGCAGGCTCTTCGAGCACCATAGGAGCTTTCAGATCACTTTGTCGCAAAAGAGCCATCCGAGCAAGTATAGGTGAGGTCTTGGTCTTCCCAATCACCAACAAGCTTAGACTTAAGGTGAATATCGAATGCTGTCTTTTCTTCCATGGCTAAGCATTCAAGTAGTGACTATCATTGTGACTGTTACGGGCCTCCTGGGCGGTCCTCTGATGCAAAGAGCCTCCTATGTCCAGATCGTGGATGTGTCTCGTAACGGCACCGTCGATCTTCAAGTAGAGCACAATATCAGCGATACTCGGGGAGGTACGGTAGACGGGCGGAACACCAGAAACGTGATGTTCACTTCAGAATTTGCACAAGTAACCCGGGATTTCCAAGCTAAAACCCCCATTCACATTGAAGGGGCCTCGTGTGAGAATTGCACGTTGACTGTCAAGGTGACATCCATATCTATGCCCCGTTCTTGTTAATATCATAACATGTGTTGGTAATATTGAAGACTAACTTCTACTCATGGCGGATTAGGCCTTCGGGTTCGATGTTGATCACTGTGAAGAGCTGACTTCTTCACCAACAAAGTATAACCTTACGATTGGCATGGAGACGATCGGAAACGTATCACGCATCTTCGAGTCCGCGATCAATATCTGGCTGGAAGATGAATCCTTTACCGCGCTCAACATTTCCACAAAACGCAAAGCGTCCTCGGACGGTGGTAATGACGCGTATCCAGAAGAATGTTCCGGCAAGCTAGTAGGCCAAACTTGCATCCTTGTACCCTCCATAGTGGCCTACAATCTCTCAATCAGGGGAGGAAAGGCATCCTTTCAGACAGACAGCTGGAAAGATGATCGTGTTCTGGAGCATATGTATGTCACCCAGTCACTTACTCCATGCAATGTTAAGCTCGCCGTTATTCTATTAGGTGGCTGAAATAGCTAACAGAACGTCTTGCTCGTTCCAAGAAATTTGACATGGCCCAGATCGAATATGGGTGCGAGTATAAATATCCTGCCTCTCCAGGTCTTTGGATCAACCCTCTTCAACTCAATTGCCGAGGTGTGGTGGTCAGGCGCAGTGGGCTGGACAACAAAGGCCGACGGACTTACAGCCAACTTATACACAGGAAACTGGTCCGCGGCTCCGTTTCCATGCAATCAATTCTATCTAGACCCCATGGACGACATAATCAACAGCTACCGCGAACTGGCATTCCGCATTTCTGTCCACGCAGCCAATAACCCTGGGCATGACTCCCAGGGCGTCCCGCTCCCACGTGAAGCACAAAAGGGGATTCCGTATACAAGTCACCTCACACAACTCCAGTACGCCGCCAATATCCCGGCACTGCTCCTCGCAGTAACCGTCAGCCTCGCCGGACCGCTGGCTACCATGGTCCTGCTATGGGGGTGGTGGAGACTAGGCAGGAGTTTCTCCATGAGTCCGCTGGAACTCGCCAATGCGTTCATTTCTCCTCCCGAAAAAGGACCCTAAGGAAAGTCATCGTTAACACTGTTACCGGACTCGGAAAGTTACCTGGGTTACAATGGCGGCGGCGACGTTACTACTATGCAACAGGAGAACGAAGCAGGTGGAATGGACGGTCTCTTTGTAGGTTGCAATAGTAACGCTTCAGCTGATGAACTGGTCGATCACTTCCGTCACAAAGGGAAGAGCTCCGGAGGAGGAGGAGGAGAACCAAAGATACAGTATGGTGTTGTTCACGGTGGAAGCGGTCGTCTTTCTTTTGCTGTTGTAGAGGGCTTGGAGATGGGCGCTGCTGGTCATCAGCCGAAGGAAGAGAGTTTGTTGCAGTGAGGTTAGGGGCTGTGTAGGAAGGGAGCGTCTCTAATGCTTGCATTCTTATAACTACTATGGATTTGCATGTCCGGACACTCAAACAGAACACCACTATCCACGGTCGTTTTTGGAAACAAAAGCAGCTTGGTTCAAAGCTTCGAAGGCAAACTTAGGTATGATACCCTTTCAATGGAAATGGTTATGGGAGATGATACTGTTTGGAGATCTTGGGTCCATGTTGGTGAGGAAATGCTGAGGCTTCTCCGTTCGGTTGTTTTCATAAGGAACTACAAGTCAAACAAGATACCAGGAGTAACTTGCAACAGCCTTTGGCTTCATCATATCCATATAACACTAGGTACTACCGTCTTTGCCAGTGATCATTTTTTTCTGTTCAACGAAGATACAGAGTTTATGTGCACAGGAGAATAAGATAGACCTTTGACTTCGAGGTGTCTCAACGTCGATAGTTTGGATAATATAAGGCCTTCGGTCAAGACATATAAGCACATATGACCATAGATGGTAGAAAACTCGGGATCCCGTCCGCTCTCCCATAGATAAGCTACCAATCGGAGGACTATCTATGGGAGCCGTTTTCGACAGGGGTTTGGATGACTCAGCTGAAAACGCCGCCCCCGTTTCTAGAACCGTTTTCCCATTGCCTTCGCCGTCGAGTGCACCGTTCCACTTACGCCAAGCCCAGCTGAGTAGGCTAGGCATACACTACCCGTGCCACGCCCCCACTTTTTTGGGACTCGCCAGACTCGCACCCCCTAAAGTGGGTGCTCACCACCAAAACAACCAACCCACCAAAACAACCAGATTCTTGATATTTGCAACCATCTTTCTTCGCACAGCCACCACGACGTGTGCACGTATGGTATCGCGATCAAAACAATGGAGGCTCGCTTGCAGAAAGCAGTAGATTTCCACCAAAAAAATCCTGAGTATCCAGTCAGTGCGCTGTGCAGGGATTTCGAGGTTCCCCGTCAACGCCTCCGCAACCGCCTCAAAGGCATTCCCCCCAAGAAAGGACAGCCCGCACACAACAGCCAGCTGTCTCCAGCAGAGGAAATCGCTCTTGTGACGGTGCCGGTCCGGCCATGACCAGAAAGGGCGTCGAAATGAACGGAATGCAGGTGAATGGAATGCAGGTGAATGGAATGCAGGTGAATGGAATGCAGGAGAATGGAATGTGGGTGAAGGGATTAGAGGACAGCGACCAGAGTATTTATTCGGGTCTACACGCATGTATCTAGTTCTCTTCCTCTTTTCTCCTCTTCACCTTAAATCTTCTGTCATAGATGGTATCCTAGCCTTGCCTTCGACTTATCCATACTAGCGCCCTTGCAGCTCTCTGCAATTATATCGATCGTCTCGATAGGATTAACCTTGCTGTACGCCCTGAATTCGTCGAAGATGCAGCGAATTACATCCTTCGAACTCGTGCCTCCAAGGCCCAGCCTGCAGGAGGGACCCGCCCTGCGTTGGTCACAACTGGGCGTCGCGGTTCATCCGCCGGCACAAGTACTCAAAGATGTTGCAGAAGAAGATGGATGCTGCCCGCAAAGACAATGAGGACGTGGATAAAGTGAGCCCGAATCCCTCGTGCAGATTACAGCCGAATTGCTAACGCTTTGTTATGATAGGTAGCGGCCTACTTTGCTAAGCTCCTTGACGTTATTCGCGCAGACGGTTTCCTACCATCAGACATATGGAATATGGATGAGACTGGCTTTCGTATTGGTATTGGAAAAGACCAAGTTGTGGTTACAAAACGGAAACGAGCCCATTACTTCGGCATCCCAGAAAACCGTGAATCAGCAACGTGCATTGAAGCTATCTCGGCGGCGGGAGAGTGCTGCCCGGCCTTCATAATTCTCACAGGTCAACTTCATATGGCGAAGTGGTACAGGACCGCTGAACTCGATCCGCGCTCACGTATCGCCACTGCTCCTACCGGCTATTCCAATGATCAGCTATCTTTTGAGTGGCTGAAGCACTTCGACGAGCATTCAAAGCGTATGCAGCAGGGAAAGAAGAGGTTATTGATACTTGATGGCCATGGTTCACACCACACCAGGGAATTCATACAATACTGCGATGACCATGGGATTGTGGTATTTGGTTTACCCCCCTACCTTACACACTTACTACAACCGCTAGACGTTGTCGTCTTCCAGCCTTTGAAGCACTACCATGCAAAGGCGCTTGACGTTCTTGTTCGTGATGGCCTCACCGAGATCACGAAGTTGGAATTCCTGTCCGTCATTGAAGGTGTAAAAAAGGAAGCCTTCAAAGCAACGACGATAAAATCAGCGTTCAAGAAGACCGGGATTCACCCATACAATCCAGATATAGTACTAAGGCCACTACAAGAACGTGTTATACAACACACACCATCGCTAACTAGACAGACTTCCTCCTCCTCTACGCCATTTCAAACGCCTATGAACTTACGACAAATAAATAAGGCCGCTTCAGATTTGACAGCTATTATAGATCAGAATAAGGCTTTGTCTCCTACCTTTAAAAGGAAGGTCACGAACTATATCAAAGGTGGTCAGATTGCTGCAACAGAGTTGATCCGAATCAAGAGAGACTTAGGGAGAACGCAGTATGCAGAAACCATCAAACGACAACGCAAAGCATTAAAAAATCGTCCCCTACAGAGTGGAGGCGTATTGAAGGTTTCTCATGCACGTCCCATGGTACAAAAGAAGGAGGAAGACGACATCAAGCAAGCACGGGAGAAAGTTGAGAAGGCGGATAGCAAGGCCAAAAACGCAGCCAAAAATACACTTTTTTGAAGCTGCAAAACTGGCTAGAAAATGGCGAAGGGATGGCAAGACTCAGCCTGCAGAGGTGTACCAAAAGGGGTATAATAACGTTAGATATTTACGTCGTTGTTGAATATACCCTCATCTTTGCAGAATCTGGTTGTTTTGGTGGTGAGCACCCATGTGACGAACGGCAGTCTGATCTGCCTAAGTAGGATAGCTGAAGGTAAGAACTATCAGTGCTGTTCGGTGAAGCCAAAAGGTTCACAACAAGTATGCTTGCGTAATACTAGTCTCGGTGATAATGATCAATTGACTACTGTCGAACTATCTGACAATCTGAGTTCTCCAGTCGTCCCTTTATACTCCGGGCCTTTCCTTGATGCCTTGGTCCTTGAGTGTCTATTGTGGTGATGGCTCACTGGTGGTGTTGCTCACTATGAGCCCTGCTCACCGTGAGCCCTGCTCACCGTGAGCCCTGCTCATTGTGAGCCCTGCTCATTGGGAGCCCGTGCGTCAGTGAGCCTCTGCATGCGCCTTTCAGGCCGATGCCTGCCCTTCTGAGGGTTACACTGGTTATCACAAGTGAGCAGTCGGGCGTCGCTTAAGTTCGTAACAACCCACTTTAGGGGGTGCGAGTCTGGCGAGTCCCAAAAAAGTGGGGGCGTGGCACGGGTACACAACCCTCGTCGACCGGATTGTCGTTGCGTTGGACCTGACTCGGGCCCACTTGCCAGACCCACAGGTACAAGCGCAGGCGATCAATAATGCATTGGTTGCGGTCGGCGCAGTGCGCTTGGAGAGGAACGACTCTTTGAAGACGATATGGACGCGATATCTGCAAAGGAAGTAAGAAAATAAGTGGAAAGAGAAAAATGATCATGGAAATGGCTCTTTTTTTTTTTTTATCTAAAGAAATATGGAGGTTTCACTACAGGAAGAGTGCAAACGAGGCTGGTATCTCGTGCCACGTGCCAGTGTGTGGTCGGAAGAATGGTTCCAGATCATTCGTACCGCGCGATCGGGATCCCGTCCTGATACGGATCATTTTTATGTATGTAGAGTATTGAGCGATAAGATAATGATAAGATAAGGAAGTGGGTCCGCTCAGATGGATTACATCAATCCATCTGCGCGCGGCTTTCACTCTTCTTACTCTTTCCTGAACCATCACGCTTTACACAGGAATAATATCACTTGCTTTTGCACATCAATGGCAGGGTTGTTCTTTGAGGCGAAAGCAGTCCATATTACGTCCGCTCTCCCATAGATAAGCCACTAATCGCTTGGGAAGACAGCCAGCCACTTAAATGTCATAAAGCTCCTCTGGAGACCGAGTGAGATTTTGGCTCTGTGTTGCCAACAGCCTGCTGAGTGAGACCGATGTCCATAACCAGCGAGCAATGCTGCCAAGAGGTTACGTGATGTCGTGCCGCGTGCACCGGCCATTTGGGCCCTGGGTTGAAACCCTGGGCGCCAGGCGCGCCTTTGCACGTTTCCCTCTTTTTCTTCTTTATCTTGTGTGTCTACTATAGACATGGAATCAACGTGTTCAGCTTTATCTCTCGTAACCACGTCGCTCGTGACATTCGGGAAAAGCTGAAAAGCTGAGCCCTACCCGCGCCACGGCCCCATAAGTGGTGCAAGCTACCAGGCCGCTACTGGTACACTATTGCCAATCCTGTGGACCCCGTGACAGAAAGCCACGACCCTCGCTCAAGTCGAGTTATTGATTGGCGCCCTGAAGCCTCTAGGTCCAGAATGCCCGGCCTCTAGAAAAGAAATGTCCTTTGGGCCATTGGCGTGTAGTGGGGAGGGAGCCGCCAGCCATCCTACGCCTGACAAGGTGACAACACATGGCCTCGAGAAAACATAGTATTCTAGTTTCTTTTCCTTATTTTGTCCTAGATGGCAGGAGAGAGGAATTCCCGGCACTTTTATAAACTCGATTTATTAATCATGAACCATGGCATCCTCACCGCAGTTAAGACGTTCCTTCCTCAAAGTTACGATGCCTCGACGATTGCGCTCATGGTTCCAGACGACTTTCAAGCGACACGGAAATGCGGAGGATAGGAAAGGTTCTAAGGACCAAGAGCAGTCTCGTCCTGCACCTCTGCTCGTGTTGTCGACGTTTACACAGCACATCTCCGCCACTACCTCTACGTCCTCCTTTCCCCTCCCGACTTCCCTCCCCCTCCCGGCCGCTCCAGCTACCGGTTCCGCCGATACAGAGACGTCCGCCAGCGTGGATAACACGAAGCAGGTGGAAGTAGGCTCACTTCTTTTCCCCGTACTATATTTTAGAATAACGCTAACACCTATAAAGAATCTATATTCCAAACTTCCCGTATCACGTAGCCATATTCGCTTGCTTCAACTATTGCCGTCCGAAAACGAGGACGCCGCAATACACTGTCGGCTCTTCTGCACCCCATTGGACTCAAAAGGCACTCGTCCGTACGAGGCCTTATCCTACGTGTGGGGCTCCGAGGCTAAGCCTTGTTCCATCTCTATAAACGGGTGCGACTTGCCCATCGGAGAAAACCTTTACGCAGCGCTGTTACATCTTCGAGATCACTCTATTGAACGAACTATATGGATAGATGCTATTTGCATCAACCAAGATGACGAAGAAGAAAAAGGACACCAAGTTCAATCTATGGCGAAGATCTACGCTAAAGCAAGTCGCGTGATTGTTTGGCTTGGAGAAGAGGCAGCCAGTAGCGACCAAGCGCTCGAAGAAATACGCATTGCAGCTGAGCTATCTATGCTTGAAGAAATACGCATCGCAGCTAAACGCGACCAAGCACCCGAAGAAATACGCATCGCAGCCCAGCGTGACCAAACACCCGAAGAAATACGCATCGCAGCCGAGCTGTCTACAAGACAATTAAATAATAAAGCAGGAATCCTTACACTGCTTCAACGATCGTGGTTTCAGCGCATTTGGGTAAGGAAACCGATGTCAAAATATTATAACTAAGGAAACTAATAGATTGATGCAGGTGCTTCAGGAAGTTGCCGCGGCTCGCCATATCCTGATCAAGTGTGGTTCTGCTGAGGTTGACGGATTTGCATTCTGCTCAGGCCTGAAAGCATTGAACCTGTCCAATGAACTCCCCGCAGACTTGTGGGCTCAAATCCTTTCGGTAACCTACCTCATACGGGGCGCAATCTTCCGGCCCAAATACGTCTACGCAACCAGTCAGGCGGACAACTTTTCTCTTGATATACGCCCTCTGGGTGAATTGATAGAGATGTACCGCGCTCGCAAAGCTACGAAACGTTGCGATAAAGTATATGCCTTACTCGGTATGAGCTCTGATAATCCAACCGCAGCAGGATTATTCGCCGACTACAACATTTCGTGGAAACAACTCTTCAACAAACTCATCCATTTCGTCTTATCTGAATTGGTCTCAGTAAACGGCCTTTGGGACGATAAGGAGATTGCCATCATTGAGGGCAAGGGCTGCATTCTTGGTGAAGTGTCCTCGGTCACGAGAAATGCTACTTGGGAAGACAGACAAGATGTGGCCATTACTTGGAGTAATGCCCCCAGCTATATTTGCGTAAAGGAAGCGTGGGGTTCTTGTTGGACCCTCCCGACCACGGTAAAATCCGTCCAAGAAGGAGATGTCGTCTGCCTTCTTCAAGGAGCGTCGAGACCCACGATCCTTAGGCCATACAACGATTACTGGGCGGTTATAATAATTGCAGTTTCCCCAGCAGGCGATTCACAAGCTACGACCAAAGATATCAAGTGGCCCGAACTTTTACAATCGACAATAGTCTTTTCACACAATTTTCGACTTGAGTGGGATTGGGATATAAATCCAGACAAGCAGTAAGATAAAAACAACTACGACTATTTGGCAAGCATTCTAGTACCAAAGCATTCAAAGACATGGTGGGAAGGTTGTCTAAATGCGGCGACTAGGATACGGAATGTCAGATTGGCATTACAAGAGGTGAAACAGTATGGAGTTGCAGTGAAGAATCTTCGGGAAGAAACGGCGGTTCTTGAGAGGGCATTAAAGAGCACGAGCAACCTAAAAAAGACTTGCTTAGGTCCCAAGGATTCAGAAAAGGAAGATGCAAAGGAAACAATGGTAAACCAACTTATTGAGGACAAGGGCCAATGGACGCTTCTATGCTTGGCGGCAGAAAACGGGCATGAGACGGTCGTAAAATTGCTTCTCGACACCGGCAAGGTCAACTTGAATGGGGAGGAGCTACCGACGGCGCTGTGGCTTGCAGAGCAAAAAGGCTATGAAGCGATCGTTAAGATGCTTCTCGATACTGGCAAGGTTGACGCAGGTGCTAAGGATTGGTATGGACAGACAGCGCTGTATATGGCGGCGATAACTGGGTATGACGTAGTCGTTCAGCTACTTCTCGATACTGGCAAGGTTGACTTGCATAGTAAGGAGCTACAAAAAGTGCTGCATATGGCGGCAGAGAATGGGCATGAGGCGGTTGTTAAGCTGCTTCTCTGTGACAAGGGCAGTGTTCTGGGCTTGGAACAGTAGTTCAATTCAGCTGATAAACTACTTTGGTCTCGAAGGCCTTGTTGATCCTCTCAACCTTCAAAGGAAGGCTGGGTTTCAAGGCCTTCTTATGCCAAAGAGGTTTGGTACGTACTGAGGTACGTACCGAGCCTTGTTGTCTGAGCCTCAAGGTATCTATCTAGCGATCTTCATACATGCGGATCTTCCCCGCGATCTTCATGCGGTTCTTCCCCGCGATCTTCATACGTGTAGATCTTCCTGAATGTCTTCAACCATTCTCCTTTCTTCTTCTAGCGCCGGCCTTCATCCGGTCGCTCTGCTTCTTGCTTGGTTTGCTGGGATAGCTTCTGCGATCACTGGGGACTGCCTCGTGATGCTTATCAGCGTCGTCGGCAGTTCGATGGTTGGTTCGTTAGCCTGACGGTGTCGAGAGGGGCTTGGGTAAGCAATGCCGGTGGCGAGAGTTTGGTCGAAGTGAGGTTGAGTCTCACGGCCTGCGGCCGCCGGGCCTTCATAAGGCTGATGCCAGGCTCTGCTAAGCCTTGGTAACCCTAACCCAAAACTGTGGGCAAATGTCCGTGTGACATTCTCGATACTGGCAAGGTTGACGCAGATGCTCAGGACGGGTTTGGACGGACAGTGCTGCATATGGCGGCAGAGAATGGGCATGAGGCAGTTGTTAAGCTGCTTCTCGATACTAGCAAGGTTGACGCAGATCTTAAGGCTAATGATGGACGGACAGCGCTGCATAGGGCGGCGGAGAATGGGCATAAGGCGGTTGTTAAGCTGCTTCTCGATACTAGCAAGGTTAACGCAAATGCTCAGGATAAGGATGGACGGACAGCGCTACATAAGGCGGCAGGGAATGTGCATGAGGCGGTTGTTAAGCTGCTTCTCGATACCGGCAAGGTTGACGCAAATGCTCAGGATAAGGATGGACAGACAGTGCTGCATATGGCGGCGGAGAATGGGCATAAGGCGGTTGTTAAGCTGCTTCTCGATACCGGCAAGGTTGACGCAAATGCTCAAATTACATTTGGACAGACAGCGCTGCATTCGGCGGCAAAGTACGGGCAGGAGGCGGTTGTTAAACTGCTTCTCGATACCGGCAAGGTTGACGCAAATGCTCAAACTACATTTGGACAGACAGCGCTGCATTCGGCGGCAAAGTACGGGCAGGAGGCGGTTGTTAAACTGCTTCTCGATACCGGCAAGGTTGACGCAAATGCTCAAACTACATTTGGACAGACAGCGCTGCATTCGGCGGCAAAGTACGGGCAGGAGGCGGTTGTTAAACTGCTTCTCGATACCGGCAAGGTTGACGCAAATGCTCAAACTACATTTGGACAGACAGCGCTGGATATAGCAGCACTGTATAGGCATAAAGGGGTTGTTAAGCTACTCAGGCTTGCATCCTAAGAAGCAGGCTTGGAGGACAGCTCTACCTCGAGTTAGCCTTTCACAATCTTTCCTCCTGCAAGAATTGATCTTAGTTTACTCCCCAATCTCTATTGTTTGCTCCCTATTGCTTCCTATCGTATTGGAAGTCCTCTTAGTCGTCGTACATCTCAACAGCAACGCTGGAGGGACCGCAATGGCAATATCACGCAGAATGTATTCGCAGCAGTCAAAAGTGAAAGAACATTCTCGTATATTCTACCCCCAGCTATATTTTCGTGAAGGACGCATGGTCTAAAGACTCGAAATCTTCGCAAGTATCATCAAGCTCGTCGGCGAGAGTGGTTAGTTCTTCAAGGCTGATTGGCTGGCGAACAATTGCAACAACAGCAAGAATGTGCTTGCAGTAACCGGATTCATTGAACTGGCTCATATCCTCTCTCATCCGCGCATATAGAGCATCCAGCCTAGATGAAAACATGCATAGCTTTTTTAGGGTAAACTCTTTCTAGACCTTTTCAAGTGCTTACAGTGATTATCCTAGTTATTGCAATACAATTCTTGTATGGATTTTCGTTGCAATAAGTGGAGTTTTAGCAATAGCTGGTAACCCCCCTAAATCGATGTCAGATTTTCCCGAAATGGTCGTTTTTCCATACAAAATCGAGTCAGATTCGAATGCTAAACATCTACATAGAATTTCTACCCCATATCTGCTGCATAGTAACGGGAGATCGAGTAATGAGGGATGACCACCTTCCATTGCTGGGTGATCCAATCTGACGCGACTTTGAGGGACGGGCGCGGGTTCTGGCTGTCTGCCCACTTCTGGAGCTCCAAGCGCTGGTCCCAGTTGAGAGAAGCGTGCTTGTAAATAGGCATTTTGGTATCTTGAGTGGAATGAGGCGTTGTTGCGAGTGACAAAGAAGCGCTAACAAATTGTATAGAGAGGGAGGTCACTGGTAAACTCGTTGGGCAAATGTGTACAGTCGAAGGGGGTAAAATGCGGTGTGACGAACGGCAGTCTGATCTGCCTAAATGGGATAGCTGAAGGTGAAGACTATCAGAAGACGTTCGGTGAAGCCAAAAGGTTCACAACAAGTAGGGTAGCGTTATACTTGTCTCAGTGATGATGATTAATTGACTACTGTCGAACTATCTAGCACTGAGTTCTCCAGTCGTCCCTTTATACTCTGGTGTCTCTAGTTATATGCGCCTGGCTCATAAACCCTGAGCTGGCTCACCTTCATGAGCCTGGCTCACCTTCATGAGCCTGGCTCACCTTCATGAGCCTAGCCCACCTTCATGAGCCTGCATCCTTGTTATGGTTACATTGCCCAGCCTTCACGTGGCTGTTGTATCCCAGTGGCTTGGTTGGCCCGTGTTATTTCGCTTAACGTTCGTAACATGCGGTGTTAAAAGGTAGTGGTGTAAAGAGGTAGTCAGCTGGGCACCAGAGCTGGCTGTGCAATAAGTAAGGTTTTAGCATTAGGAAGAGGTTTGTAATAACTAGGGTAATCACTGTACAAGTAGCCAAAGCTGATAGATTGGTTGCTCAAGTGCACAAGAATACCTACCTTAAGGTAATCGGATCTTATCGATAAATAAGATAACCAAAAATGAGGAAGATCAAGGGAGAAAGAGGAAGAAGTGCAACCCTTGGTCTAAATACAGGGATGCAGCCAATGGAATAACACGGAGGGCGGCGGAGAATGCACCCAATCAGAAGACATCCATCTAGTCTTGCATGAATGCACCAAACATATCAAAAGAGCCTTACCAGGGCAAAAGAGACAAAATTGGTAGCACAGGAAGTCAAATATAAATTTGCTCTTTGAACCTTCCTCGGCATACAAGAAAACCTGACTCCTTCTACCATCCGTTAACCGTTATGCATTATATTCGTATCCCCGTAATGGTAATACCCTCTATATCCTCATATCCTTGCATCCGTGCTAAAGAAAAACACAACCGGTAAGGGAATAATATCCTGCTAATTCCTCCTCTCACGACATCGGTATCCCTCTAGCTGCGCCACGACGGCGCATCGCTTCACATCTGCTGCCTTCTGCCGCGGCCCCAATCCGCCCCGGGAAGATCAAGCTGTGCGAAGAAAGATGATGAGCATTGGTGAGCTGGAGACACTACCACCACAGACGAGCGCCTTTGGCACCGTCATGAACGGGCGGGTCTTTTGATTTCACAAAGCGCGTGACTTCGCTGTGGTTGCTCAATTTTGATGATTGCTCGCCAATCACAATGGATAGGCGTGGTGGGGTGGATAAGGCAGTCAAGGCATTCCTGGACACGAACTGCTATTGTCCAAAGCCCAATTCCGGGAAGGAGGAGATTGAGGAGTTGTGGGAACCCGTTTAAGAAGAAGTACCTCGAGCATAGCTTGAGGATACTCACACTCCTCGGCCGACCTCATCACCAACACCTTCCACCTATCTTTATATCAGGACTCGAGCAACAAACGGGGGCTAATCGGAACCGTAAATCCGTCGAGGGAGAACGTGCTCTCCAGCATTATATACCAACCGGGGCGAGGGGAAGGGGGCGTGGGGGGGCACCGCCACCAGCAAGCTAGGAGCAGTGGAGGGAGCGTACGGGGGGGGGGGGGCGAACTGCCCAAAACAATACTCGACATCGTTGGCATCGATTTGCGTATGCCAATGCAGAACCACCAGGGCATTGCGCCATGCTGTCGCAAAGCTCCTCCACCGGATAGTTGAGCTTCCGCATTTAATTGATGTGAAGCTTGTAGTTTCGTAGGGTGAAGAAGGATCCGCTGGCGCCGTACTTGATCCTTCCGAGGACGGGGCGCACCAAACAATCTTTATTGCTTGTGTCCTCTTTCATGACCGACCAGTTTTTCTCCGCGCAGTGCGCCTCGATAAGCGCATGTCGGATCGGAGTGGGGAGAGGGAAGACCCTCTCCATGCACAGGATGTGCTGTTACGATCCAATCAGGGATCACTTATGTAAGCTAAACCAGATAGAACCAACAGACCAATCAGGTTGGACCCGAAGCTCCGGGTCCAGAGTTCGGGTCCACGGGTCCGGTACATCGGGTCCATGAAGACCGGTATATAAAGACGGCCTTACCAGGCCACTTTATATACTGGCTCTTCAGCAAGCAATAGCTATCATATCTTACCAATACCTTTAGGCTATTCTTACCGTTGTCCCTGATATATTGTAATGCGTGGGCGGGCGTGTGCCTCTGGGAAAAGCGCTACCGTGGCCCTAAGACCATGTCTCGCTCCCTCTGCCTCTGCATCAAAGACTTCTGCATGTTCTAGCTGACCACAGCCGCGGCCAAGCTCTGCCTGACCCTGGAAGATTACGTAGCCAAAGCCCACGCACTCGCCCTCTGGTCTTTCTTCTTCAGCGTCCGGGTCCTCCGCGTGCGCTGGAAGGTCCATCTGCTTAGCTATCATAGAGCCGTCGGTGTAAACGACGACCTCCGAGGGATCTAGCTGGAGAAGCCACTCTTTGAAATCCTTGGCAGCCCTGTCCTTAGACGTGGGCGCTGGATCTTTGTGAGTGTTTCCGTTATAGACTGGCGGCTGTAGAACCGGCCGGGGGAAAGGCAAGGCAAGCTGGGCAGCCGTCTGTAGCGTTGTAGGGCGGCGAGGCAGGCCGTGTGGCGTTATTCGGGGTTCTGAAAGACGCGGGACAAGCGGGTGGGCGGGATCTAGGGTGAGGAGGCGCACAGCGTGCCGCCGGCGGGCCGCCTCCAGAAGAAGGGGGACGGGGGGCACTTGGAGTGGACGTTTGTACCTGTTGTGCCCATTCAGCACCGTCGCACACCTGGGTGAAGCTGCATCTTTCAACTTCAGCGCATCGACAGCCGATACAAAATCCAGGCCGACGATTAGAAATACACAACCATTATTCCCTTTGCCCTTACTGCAACATCCCTCAGCTATGCTCGCAGGACGATGGATTGGGAGCCGTCCTTCTCGCGACTAAAACGTCCCCGCCGACACTACGAAGCGTAAGAACCCGAGATATTTGGGCAGGCGAATCCGACTAGAACCTAAAAACCTAGGCCTATAGCAGACTCCACCCGCAATAGATTACAAGTGTTCCTCGCTTTATCCTCCAACGACGGGGGCATAAAGTTGTAGAACTCGCTTATCACGGGGCGAGTGGGCACCGTTAGGGGTAAGGTAAGATATACGTTGTTGTACGAAGGGGAGAAAGGGAAGTGTGCGTGGAGGACTAGCTATATAGGTGAGAGCCCAGCAGGCCAGTCCGTACGCGCGCACGTGAGACTGTACGTGACTGGGATATGTGACCAGTGCGTGAGTGCATAGCTCTAGGCCATAGCACCAGCTCTAGCATGGCACATATACGGTCAGTACAGTGCAACCACATCACAGGCTAGCCCTGTGATATCGCTATCCTGTTCTATGTTATTACAACCAAGTTCAAAGCCGCAGGCGGAATTCTGAACCGGAGATATCGGAGTGGCAGTAACAACCATTCACAAAACTGAGCTTCTTCCCATCAGTCAGCATGGTTAATCCAGAAAGAGGGATAGCGTTTCGTTACCCATACGAGCCAAATTACTACCTAGTATGTGTCACGGCGGTGGCAGACCACTACACTAACCAGGCCATGTTCCTGCAAAAGGATACAAGTAACCGAAGCTGGCAATTCGGTTGCTCAAGTGGTCTTATATAGTTGTCCCGAAAGAGGCACCCGAGTGCATTCCATGACAGTATGAAGTCAGTCTTGGAGTACCTTCAACACCCAGTCGGTGGTATAAAGCCGCATGTTAAACCGCGATCCCCCGCATCTAGACTAGGGAAGACCATGTAGCTGTGGTGACACTACTACGTGTGTTGGCTCTCCCAAACACCACCAAGGAAGAGACCACTTATCCGATCGAGGAGAATCGAGCCTCTACCATTGTACCAAGCTTGGCCATGACTGGGCAGTCACGGGTTAATCCCGTGGCATCTGGACCGCACAAGCATCTGCAAAAGAAGAGTCAAGGGATGGAATAATCTTGCTTCTTCGTAATGGAATATGTGACGGCTGGTGCCGTCATGAGTCACATGGTTCAGGTGCAGGTTCTGGGCTTGGCTCCGGCTGCCTCCCAGTTAGGATACAAGAACCTCGCCTCTCCCATCAGCCTTCCTTTTTGGGATTTCTTCCTTCTTCAACTTCTTGTCTTTAGTCCAAGTTAGCGAAATGGTACAATCATCACACCGTCTAGCTACGCCGTGACAAATACGTCATCTTGGCAACAGTAGAAGGTTACCAGAATTTACAAAATTCTTATAAATTTGCCTATCCTGCCAGACCCTTCTGGTGGCACGCTAGAAAAATGAAATAGAGAGAAAGAAATTGAGAAAGACAAGAAGTACATTATATGTCTTGCGAGAAGCTAATAAACCAAACCGGTCCCGATCCGCTGCCGATAGATATCATCCGTCCCTGGAGGTCAAAACCAGACGATAGGTAAGAATCAAACAGACGGTAATTCGATGGCAGCCAGAGTACGTTCTGGCCGTTGCAAGTAATCCAAGAACTATCCTGTCCCAATCCATAGCTATGGCTCTCTCGATTATCTAGTACAACTTGGCTTTTAATAGTTTCTGTATCTATTTTGATACGTCCAACGTTGGTACGTAGGTAGCGATTAGTACGGTCAAACGATATATCGGTTATCATAGTACTAGTATTAATCGTTTGGAAGCAGCTCCCCGACGCCGGATCCCAGATCTTGATTGTCTTGTCCAACGAACCGGACGCAAGCCGCTGGCCATCAGGCGAGAATGCCACTGAGATAACGATGTCGCTATGGCCTTCTAGGGTCTGGAGGCAGCTCCCTGACGCCGGATCCCAGATCTTGATCGTCTTGTCCTCCGAACCGGACACAAGCCGCTGGCCATCAGGCGAGAATGCTATTGAGCTAACGAAGCCTTCTAGGGTCTGGAGGCAGCTCCCCGACGCCGGATCCCAGATCTTGATCGTCTTGTCCCCCGAACCAGACGCAAGCCGCTGGCCATCAGGCGAGAATGCTACTGAGATAACGATGTCGCTATGGCCTTCTAGGGTCTGGAGGCAGCT